TGTTCAAAGATCCTCGGCTTAGCCGAGAAAAATTATCAGCCATTCCAGAATTCAGAAGACCTCATCTTCAGATTTCTGGGGGGCAGAGGGAAATAGAGAAATGGCACAACTGATCTAATACCCTTCAGCTCAGCCGAAGTTTGATACTTATGTCAGTTTTTTCACAAGTTGAAAACATCCGAGTACAAACGGCAAAAAGAAGTCTCAGCAGAAATGATTCTCGCTAGCCGAAGTTCTGCACTTAGCAAATATTTGAAAGATCATTCAAAGAAAGCAGTAAAGTGCGAAGACTGGTAAAGCGAAGAAAAAAAAAATACACAAGAAAGCTGAGAAAGTGAACTTCTTTGAAATAAAAATGTTGAATTACAAAAATAGTCGGCAGCCGCCCACAAGCGGAAAGTAACAGCTGCCGAAATACGTACAGGCAAAATAAAAATATAATAAGCTGTTGTACGATAAGGCAAGCTGAAGCAAAAAAAAAACAAAAGGCAAAAATTCAGAAAGCGGCAAGTCTAAAGTTGAGCGCATGATGAACCGCAAGATTCTGAAGACGACTGCCCGAGTTCCTATGCTTCAGCCGGAGGATCAGACTGATCAGCGTTGAGTCCCCTGGTGGCCTCAGCCCCAGCAGCAGAAGAGGCGGGCTTTGCACTTTGCCGAGCCTCCCTTTCCCTCTGCTCAGCTTCCAACTCCAGTCTTTCAGCTTCCTCTTCGGCTTCCTCAGCCTTAAGAATTTCAGCTTCAGCTGGAGTTGCATACTTCATGTGAGGGTCTTCGGGATTCTGGGCCCACTCAGCACATTTAGACCAGTCCAGCTTCGGCTCAGCATGAAGGCAGAGTCTTCGGCATACTCGGAATCCGTTTCTGAAACCCATCTCATATTCCTCTTGGGTGTAAACACGGACTTTGAGTAAAGCCTCAGCATCAGCCAGCTTCTTCTGGGTCTCCTCCAAGTCCTCCTTGGATTTCTTCAGCTGTTCAGCGACTTTGGAGGAGGACCCCTTCAGCTCATTCAGCTCTTGCTGAATTTGGAAAGCCTTTGTCTGAGCTTGGGCCACTTCAACTTTCTGGATCAGCAGTTGATCCTCAGCCTCTTGGAATTTAGCTCTTTGAGCTTCAGCAGCAGCAGCAGCCTCTGAGAGTTGGACGTCTTTGGCCAAGAGCAACTCTTCAGCAGCCATTCGGCTGGCTTCAAGAGCCTCTAGACGCTGCTGCACTTCAGCTTGTGCAGCAGTTCCTTCTTGAATTCGGCTCTCAATAGCAGCCTTGAATTTGGAGACGTCCACTCCCATATGCTCCTGGAGGAATTTTTCCCCTTCCATCAGTGGGGGAAAAACCTCCATCTCCATAGCATCGCAGAAGGTTTTCAGAGCTTCGGCAGCTTTTTTACCGTACTCCTCAACCTCCTGCTGCTTCTCTTCAGCTGCTGCTTGCTTCAGCTTAGCAAGCTTAACTTCCTCTTCAGCCACCTTCCTTTCGTGCACAGCAGCGTCTACCCTATCTTGTAGGGTATCAATCAGCTCTACAGTGAGAGTCTGATTGTGCACGAACTGAAAACAGGAAGACAAAAAAAATAAGTAATAAGAAAAAAATAGAGCTGAATTTCGGAGGAAATGAAGGAAAATTACCTGCATCATCAGCAGTTGGTTAGACCTGGCTGGGTCAGGAACTGATCTACTGGATTCGCCCATCCCAGCAGTGGCCTTCAGCGACCAGATCCTTGCCCTGTCTACTTCGGACATGCCAGCAAAATTGCCGAAGTAGGCTGCAGCTCCTTCTCGGTTTTGACCCCATATGAGGTCCCAGATGTGATCTGGGATTGGAATTCGGGGGGCCGAGAAACCCATTTCTCCAGAATGCAGAGTCTGGAAAGAAGGGAAGGACGACGATGGAGCTTGATTAGCTTTGGTTGTCTCAGCATCGTCCTTCTCAGAGGAGTCAAGTACTATGACCTCCTCTTCTTCAGGGGTGAGGACGAAAGCCTCAACCTCTCTTGCGATATCTGCCGTGAAGCCTTCAGCACTTGACATCACGGCATCTTTATTTCCGTGCTCAGCAGCACTCTCCTTGATTTCTTCTTGGACCCCTCCCTTAGGTTCGGGAGTCCTCTGATCCACCTCCATCTCAGGAGGTGGCGGAGGGGTCTTTTGAGGAGATTGGGGTGTTGGCTGGGGAACCCTCGGCGATCCATTGCCTTCCTCAGGTTCCCTTATTGCGACGCCGATGGTCATCGGCCTCTGCTGAAAGTCATGAGGGCCGATGATGGCCATCCTTCGGCGCCTTTTCAGAAGGGGCTGCTCGTCCATATCTGAGTCTGAAGACTCTTGTATTTGATCTTCGGGACGAACAGGAGCTTTGCCTTCTCTGTGTCTGTTACTCTCTTCAGACTGTAACAGACAGGGGGGAAGATGAGTGTGAGTAAAAAAAAAAAAAAAAAAAGAAGAAAGACAAAGTTAAGTCTAAAGGCTCACCGAGGTCTTCAGCAAAGCCTCGTCTTCTTCAGCTGCCCTAGCCGCAGCTTCTTCAGCAACTCTAGAGGACCCTTCTCCACCTTCACAAGCTTCAATAACCCGTGCAACCTCTTCGGCTGTACGGGCAGCTTCAGCTTCTTCTTCCAGCAGCTGAAACAAGGGATCTCTCTTCTTCCACCAAGGCTTCTGCCTCTGATACAGAGCAACAGCCTCAATTTGGAAGTGGGAAGAGTCTAGGTGAACCTTTCGGCGCCTTGGTTCAGTGATAGGGGGAGCCCGATCAGTTACGACTCGTTCTCGGTTGACGCCAAGGCGAGCGTAATCAATGCCGACGTTGGTCTCGTCCCGTTCTGAAAAAGAAAAGGGGAGAAGTCAATTCAGTTAGTTCGGCACATCACAAGAAAGCAAAATGAAAGAAGAAAAGAGATAATTAAAAGGCCTCGGCCCCAGCCGAAGAAGATTACCATCCCTAAACTTTCGGCTGAGGCCGACAGCTGCCAGCATATTCTCTTGGAAAACATAGTGCGTATCGGGGAGCCAAGTCTCCGGGATATGCTGCATTCGGCCGCTGCCTCCCCGGTTCGGCAGCTTGCCGAAGATGTTCTGCTGATTAAGGTTCGGGTCTGGCCCGCTATCTTCGGGAGGACCTAAACTTCCCATATCAGGATCCGGCTCGGCAAGATACCGGGGAGCGCTGAAAACGTAAGGGTGGCTCGGCTCCGTGGGTGCCCTAACCCAAATCCATTGACCTCTCCAGTCCTTGTCTGAAGAGTCATTTGGCCACATGGTCAAGTATTGGGGCCGGGACTCAATCCGATACCACCCAGAACCATGGCTTCCGTGCCCACTCTGAATATTTGGCACTAGCCGATGGAGCTTTCTGAAGCAGTGCAGGTTCGGCACGTATCTGAAGAACTTGCAGACCCATAAGTACGTCATTACCCTTCGGATGCTGGTGGGGGTCAGCTGGCACAGGGAAATGTTGTAATGGATCAGCAAGTCTCGGACGAAAACGTCCAAAGGGAACCTCAGCCCATACTGAAGCTGTCTCGTGTACACCCCCACATACCCCGGGGGTGGACGATGGATTCTATCGGATGCTGAGGGCATTCGGCACCAATATCCATCAGCTTCAAAAATGCCGTAGTGCAACTCAATTTGCTCGGCAAATCGATATTGATCGGCGTTCTCTACCCACCATGAGTAGGGGCGGTTCTTTATCATGGCCGAAGCGACTTCGGCATCCTCCCACTCTGAAAACCCTGGGAGGATATCCCAAAGGACAGCGGGAACTTCATCATCCCGTCCTGAAGCGCTCACCCCCTCAGCCCTCTGAGGAGGAGCCGAAGAAATGGGAGTCGCCCTAACCCCTTCAGCAGGGTCAGACTCTGTCCTTCGTCCATTCCAGGTCCCAATCCTGTCCCTGGGATCGGGGATTAGCCTTGCTCTCCTTGGAGCACGGGCTCCACCTCTAACTCCCCTCACCATTGACGAATTTCGAAGGAAAAAGTCGAAAAAGGGGAAAGAGTGCAAAGTCGAAGAAAAATGAAATAAAATCAAAGGAATTTACCTTGATCTGAAGCAAAAGTCGCCGATTTACGAATTGGTAGTGACAAGTCTCAGCTTCTAAGCTTAATGCTCGGGGAATTTGCGAAGTTTTGATGCGGGCTCTTGAGCGTTCTTGAGAATTCTGGGTTTGTGTTGATGAATGAGTGGGGAGAGAAGACGCGCCTCTATTTATATCTCCAGAAATGGGAATTCAAGGAGTCTGCGTTTCAATTTCTCTCAAGCACCCCACTAAGTAACCGTTAAACACACGACCTTGCAGTTAAGTCGCCCACTACCCGTCCAACTTCCGCAATTATCCACATTAACTGTTGTTATCTCATTAATCATGGGTTAATTACGGTTTAAATTCACATTTTTGGATTAACAAATCATTCACTTCCCTCCTTTTCTGATTAAATCAAACCCGACCCGTCATCCTTCCAAATCGGGTCTGGGGGGCAAGTTGTTTGGGTCCAATTTAGTCCAATTGGGCCTGGTCACTGAATGATCCAATTAAAAGCCCAAGGTTAAGGTTCAACTCTCCAAATGTGCTAAAGTCAAAAATCAAACATCCTCAAAGCCATGTCAAGGTCAGTCAACGGCCCAATCAGCTTGGCCCAGCCCAACTGACTTCCGGGCCCAATCCGCCTCCTTCATTAGCCAAGGTATAAAAGCCAACAATTTGGTCAATTCTTGGTAAGACAATAAAGCCTCAAGCAACTAAACTCTTGCACAGCTTTCTCTCTCTAATATACTGACTTAAGCATCGGAGGGGCCTTCCTCGGCGTCCCCCCGAGGCTAGTTTACGTGTATTTGTTGTGCAGGAAACCCTCGGCTCCTGCGTTGTTCGGACCGAGACCAAGTTCCCTCAAGATAAAAGGATCTTCCGAGATTCGATTGTTTTCATCCGAAACAAGTTCTTATCAAAAACAACAAAAATAGAAATAAAAATAATTAGAAGAAGTAAGATTGAGAACAAAAATGGATATGAAGGTATTAGAAGAAGAGTTGAAAAAGGGTTGGGAAGCAACTAGTCAACTACGATCATTACTACTTTTTCCACCCGAATTAGAATGTGGTAATGCAAGTAGTAATAGAGATTACCAAAATCAAAGCTCCGAAAATGACAAGATCTTGCCATTTTTGGAAAGTCATTATGCCACCATTATCAATTCGTTTGACACTTCCATTTCCATCTTAAAGCAATTATCCCAATCTTCAAAACCTTCAATTAGTCAAAAATCAAAAATTGGTCAAAAAAGCAGGTGCGTTTTTTTTTTTTTTCTTTCTTCTCTGTTTCAGTATAGATGTTTTGCTCTACGTTTAGTCCCACTTGTGAGGAGAGTTGTCTGTTTTCATTTTTCATATATATATATTTACCGAAAAATTTTCATGTTTATTGTTAGTTAGTGATATATACAGTAGTCTATTATAAATTAGTTAATGTTAATGTGGAAAAACATGCCTTTTGGGGGGTGGGTGGTGAACATAATAACAACAGCAGAAATATATATAGGGTTGATTTTATAATTTTATAAAGAAGGAGTATACATGATTTGAAACAAATCCAAAATCTTTCGTTGAATGCGAGCTTGATAAAATCAATGTCCTTTGGGAATTCGAAGGTCTAGTTTTCGAACTAATGTTTACATGCATCAAAGTTATTAAAATCGAGACTCAAATTTGGATCGATAAGGCCGGCTTGTTAGATAGATAATTAAGTTGTGAAGTCGAAAGATCCAATATGTTTGTCGAAATTGTGATTATAATTGTAATATTAGCAAAAGGTCTTTTTTCAAGTTCACAGTATGATACAGTCATCGGATTGATGTTTAATTTTCTTGAATGTACACTATGTTATAATAAGAAGCTAATCAGTAAACATAAGATGAAAAATTAAATCTTATTACGATAACGACACCTTAATTAAAATCTTATATCATTTAACAGGTCAAGGATGATTGAAACCTCTAATCTTGAGCCTGATGGCTACGCATGGAGAAAATATGGTGAAAAGCCGATCCTCAACACAAAGCACCCTAGGTATATACATTAGTCTTATTTGTTAAATACAAACTAATTTAAATTATATTTCAATTCCCTCATTCACTTTTAATTGCAACACTTTGACTACACTGTGAGATCTTTTTGGTCAAATTGTTGTAAGTAAAAAGTGAACAGATGAAGTATGAAATTGGTGTTGCAAATCAATGATTAATTTTTTACATTTGGTTTATAAATATAGGGAATATTATAGATGCGGATACAGAGATGATCAAAATTGTCAAGCAACAAAACATGTCCAAAAGATATCAGGCAGCCCTACAAAATATAGGATCATTTATTACGCTCATCATACTTGCAACCCACTCTTACATAGTAATATTGTCCCTCAAATACACGTATTGGATCCTTTTGAAAAAGATTGTAACAACCTTATAAGCTTTGAGTCCGAAAACCCTACCCAAATCCCTAAACAAAACCTTAATAAACCATCTGCCCTAATTTTGCCATCTTCTTCAAATAGGTCATCTAAGGCACTTTCTCCGTGTAAGACTACTAATAATCCTCCCCCATGCCTTGTTGATTCGATGAACAACCCTAACCCACCAGTAGTAAGCAACGCGATTATTGGTGATGTCAATCAACAACAAGATGTGGTGTTCTCTTCAAGTTTGTTCATGAGTGCAAATTATATGGCTAGTTCATCTGTGAACATAGACGGGTGCGATTTGATGGCGGGTTATGAGCAATTATATGATATGGATGGTGCGTTGCAACTGCAAGACATCCCTTTTGGGGAGATGAATCTTTCGCCTATGTGGGAGTAAACCAATTCAACTTCATTGGTCGTACAATTTCTATAAAAGTTTGAGCAAGATTAAAAAGAATGAATGTTGTACTTTACTTAGCTTGGTTTTAAACTTTAAATTGTTGAGCTTTGTTCCAAATAATTTTTTTTTTTTTTAGTGCATGTAAACCATCATCAAAGATTCATAGATCCAAAGAAAATATTTTACAACCGTTGTAATTGTCAAGTGGTACAACACAAGGGTCTTTTGAGGAATGTTGAATAACTTTCGATTTTTTTTTATTTTTTTATTTTTTTTTCTCTAAATTTATAAATTACCTGAATGAAACAATTGTTGACATCAATGTCCAAGGAAAATTGATTTATGTCATTTTATTTTTGATGTTTTTTGAAAGCAATTCTTGTTGACAATTCAGCCATCCTTATCAATGTTATTAGAAAGTGATTCTAAATTAATCGTGCACTTTTGATAATAACCCTTTAAACAAGTTTAATTTGGAGTTTAAACATGTGCAAATAACTCGTCAACCTATACAATTTTCAACCACAAAAAACTGAAAACAGATTGTACTATTCCTAACAATAATAGTTAAAATAAACACAATAACGTAAATGTCAATTAGTTTAGTTAATTAAAGTATTGAAGGTGGTACCCAATATCTATGTCAAATTCCGCCTATTTTACTTACCCATAATTGCTCTTTTTAAACCAAAAAACCGAAAACAGATTTTATTCCGAACAATAATAGTTAAAATAAACACAATAACGTAAATATCAATTAATTTAGTTAATTAAAGCATTGAAGGTGGTACCTATTATCTATGTCAAATTCCGCCTATTTTACTTACCCATAATCGCTCTTTCTACACCAAGAAAAATTACTCCGTAACATAGTTATTATTTCCACGCAACATACAAACTTTTAAGTATTATTCTGAAATCCATTAATTAATACACTCTTCATTTTCTATCTACAATTTGAATTTTTTTTTTTTTTTTATTAACATAATTCAGTTTGTTCATTGTTACATTTTTTTTTAATGCAAATGGGGGGCGAGCAAGGCCCCTACTTTGATCTTTATAGATGATAAATAATACTTCTCCTGCTTCAATAATAAAAATAATTATATACATTAGCCCATATATATAATTATGCTGTAATAAAAAAATATTAAAAAAATTACATTTTGAATTTACATAGTGAAAACTCAATAATTAAAATAATTATATACATTTTCATATGTATTATTGATGAAATATGGCCTAAATTAGTATATGAATAGTATCACATATACGTCAACATAATGCATCTAAACGGAGGAAGAAATTTATCAAAAAAATGAAACAGAGGAAGTAATTAGAAAAAAAAAAAAGCACTCATGCATGTGAGTCACAAACTACATTTTGTAAAAATTAGCAAGTTTTGCATGGACCCGGTCTACAGTAAATAATATTTGATACTCTCAAATAATATAGATACATTCTGAATGATATAATCACTTTTTTAAATGATATAATTATCTTGTTGTGAGTCATATTTTAGATGATATAGTTGTATTTTAAACAATTTAATTAGATGATATAATCATCTTTTGGATGATATAATTATCTTTCGAATGATAAACTTACTGTTTGATACTTTTTTTAAAGATAAATTCACTTTTTGAATGATACATTTACATAATCAGTTTATGGATGATATAATCACATTTCAATTGATATACTAGATTGTTGGGTGCACAATAAGTTATTGTGCACCGGAATATCAACTTCAAATTATTATAAATTGACTATGATTGTAACTTGTCATTAATACAAACTTTTGAAGATACTGATGGTCCATTATACTTTGTGTAAGCAATCAAAATAATCACATATATTTGTAAATATTTAAAAAAGTATGTGTGCTGTTTAAACGAGTGCATTTTTCATCTAGCCTAAAATAGGTCCTATAGTGTATTAATTCGAACTTTATTGATTTAAATCTTCTCGGTATGTAGATTACTAGTGAGAATTTGTGATAAAATTATTATTAGAACTCTGTAACCAACACTACAATGTATAATTGAAAAAAAAAATGACATGTATAATACATACTCGGCACGAATTATTTTACTATCTATCACATTAATCATATTATATATGTCACAATAATCATAACCCTTTTTTTCAGTTTAAATGTGTGGAGACATTATTGAATTGGTAATACAGTAGTATAAAGTGAAGTGCATCAACTTTTTGGACGGAGTAACATTAATTTTGTGATAATGGGTGTATAAATTGAACAAAATCATTAGAATTAGTATGTATAATAATACGTAGTATGATCAAACATCACCATAAATTATGTTCAGGATAATTGATGAATGATTGAATGATGATGTTATATCTTTTTGGTATTTTTCGGCAAAAAATGAGCTAACCGGGCCTTGGAGGGGTGTCTGAGAACCTCGAATTTGGGCCTTGAATGGACCTGCAAAATGAACCCCGAGCCCCGGGGGTTGAACCCAGGGCGGAGCCTCCGACGCCCAAGTTAGTTGCCAAACAATGCATATTTTGAGAGGAGTTTAGGAGAGAGAGGTGTTTCATGGTCATCTTAATGTAAGAGTGACCAACCCCCTTTACCTTTGCCCTAAGTAGGGTATATATAGAGGTTATGAGTGGGCTTTTGGACCCAAGCAATGTAAAACTTATTTGGACCTTTTAGGCTCTTTGGTCTTATGAGGCTATAATGGGGCCTACCCATTATAGTACCCAAACAGGTATGATGACGTATGTTCTTTTACACTGCTGAAGTTTGCTTATATACGTCATTTTTAAAATTTAGTTTAATTTATTAATAATTAAGGCTTACCGTTGACCAACTATGTTTAGTACTTGTAATTATTAATTATTATTCAGGGGTCGATTTACATCTAGATCTACCATTAATAAATATAATTTTGTCACTAATCTCACTATTAGGCCTTGGACTAAACATTTTTTTGTCTAAATTTAGGCATCATAACGAAAAGCATTAAATAAATACTGTATTTTTCATACATGCATGACTCAGCTCAATACATCAATCTATTGGTATTTATTATCCACCGCACATTTAAAATTAATTAACAATATCGAATTATAATTCTACAATTCCTTGGATTAATATATATATTGACAAATGACAATACAACTAGACCAAGATTAAAGTAACGCACAATTAATTGAACCACACAAAATTATATACGAAGTACATACTACTACCAGGGAGTGAAAGTAATATGGATTAAAACCAAAAACCAAACTAAACCGAATTGAATTAACAATGTAGTTCGGTTTTTTTCGATTTTCAATTTAGATCGGTTTGAATTTTTGCAAAAATATGGATTTCGGTTCGGTTTCAATTTGGGGCTTCCAAAAACCGAAAACCGAAAATCCAAACCGAAATATATTCAGCCCAAATATCCAAGCCTATCTCCCCTACATATATAAATCAATTAAAACCCTAAATCACTTTTCCGTTTCTCACGTACTCTTTTTCACTTGCGGCAACCCTAAGTCCCTAATACCTTTTTCCTTTTTTCCCTTTCTCACTTCCCTTACGACCACAGACCACTGCTCAGGCGCTCATCCCCTAATCACCGACCACCTCTCCTCCGCTCCACCCTCACCGGCCATCGTCTTCCCTCTAGAAGGTAAGACTCTTCGATTTTCGGTTGTTTTAACTTATTTGTTTTTAATTTTATTGTTGAATAATTTTGATTTTTTTTTTTTTTTTTGGGTGAATATAAACTTGATTTGTTGATTATGCTTCTTCCCTTTCGTTTTAACTTATGTTTTTTTTTTTTTTTTTTTGAAATCATATGATCGAAGGAAAATCGTGGGGTTTAATGGGTTGAATCGTTTTATCTCAGATTTCGCAAGTTTAATGGTTTAATGGGTTGAAATCATATGATCGAAGAAAAATCGTGTGGTTTTTTTTGGGCATTTTTTTGCGTGATCTACTGATCTTTCAGTTTCTAGGTATTAGTTTGATACTTTGATATATTGTGATGTTGTTGTTCTACTGATGTGTTGGTGTGGATAGACAAATAGTGTCAAGTGTCTTGGTCTGTTTAGTCTCTAGGTTTAACGTATTGATGTTGTTCTGCTTCTTTGCATTGCTGCTATGTTGGTCACATTTCATGGATTGATTTGGTTTTTGGGTTTAAGTTGTATTTTGGTTGTTCTGATTTGTTAATGTATCTGCTCTTCGTCTGTGACTCTGTTGATATGCAAATACTTGTATGTTTTTTTTTTCTTTTGATTCAGAATGTCAACAAAATGTTGGTGAAATTGATCCGGAAATGATAGAGATCAACTGATGATGCCTTGCTGCCCTTTGCTGCTGAAGTGTTGGATTACTTGATTTTACTCGTATAATGAATTTGGATTACTTTTATGGACAACATGCAATTACTCTTATGAAAAATTGAGGTTACTCATATATTTAAATGAAGATTACTATTATAAACCAATGTGGCTACACCACATACAAGACTTTCCCTTTTAAAATATAGGCATCTTTGAAGCATTAATCATGCATGACAAATTGACAACATCTACCACCTGGCTTGCTTTGTTTAACATAATTTATTTTTTTTAAAAAAAATATAGAATACATACTTTTTTAAGTGTTCCATTTTAATAAGCACGTATGACCTATGGTACTATTGTGTTGTTATAATGTTAATAACAAAAAATTCAAGTGTTAGATCTATCTAAGACTAGCACATACGGAGTAAAATACTTTCTTTAATATGAACAATGAAGCCTGAAACAATGAAAATTGCATAAATGGGGGTATATATGGCAGTATATGCTCGTAGCATTTATTTTTCTACTACCTCCATTAAATATTATCTATTTGTAACATACATACTAAAAAATGAACGCTAAACATTATCTGCAACATTTTCAAATTTTTTCATTTTTAGTAAATTTAATTTAATGGATAAAATATCGTATCCTTCTATGTTGCAGTGTTGGAGTGTTTCACGTGGAACAAGTAATGGGGCTAATGGATGTAGCCTAAATGTTTCCTTCACTACTGCCTTAAAATATTCAAACCTTTATTTTGTATCGCACTCCTTAGCTCTTCTTGTACCTTTTTCATTGTATTGGGGTTCTTTATTAGCTCCACAAGTACCCAAATTACTCCGCCTGTACTTGTATTTGCACCCCCGACGAAAAGATTCTACAAATATATTCAAATAAAAGTGCACATATCATTGTCGTGCAGGAAAAATCTCCTATAACCTTTGAAACAAAAGAACATCAACTATGTCGTTTCGCGCAGATTCAAGCTTGTCTTTGTGAAGATGTTCGTTAATAATTTTCTCAAAAAGAGCATTTAAGTCTTTAAAAGTTTTCTCAAGCTTAGAGGATTGTCCTATGAGCTTATCAAGAAAACCCCCAAAAGGAACATAATCGGTATAGTACATAGTTGTGAACATTTTTTTCAACTTCATGTAGAAGGCTATAATATTTGCTTCCTAACACATTGTCGTCGTTGTATCTGTCCATTATTCAAACAACAACACAAATTACATATTTACATCATACTCTATAGTAAGGAGAGGGATTAGAAATGTAATATTAAAAAAAGGGAAATTTTTGTCATAAATCACCTTTTGAATTTGAATTTTGTGATGAATCCTCATTTTTCTTGTATAAAAAAAACTTTTAATTACATAATTTGTTTTTTTTTAAACGACCACGTTTAGCCAAATTTTGCCATTTAATTTGACTCATAATTTAGCGTGGCTTCAAAGGTACCTAGGTCTTTTAGAGAAGATTAGGTCTTAGGATTTTTGGAGGTCGTCGGTGGCTGGGTGGTTTTGAGGAAATTCATTGTTTGGGTTTAGGAGAGTTAGCTTTGTAGGGCACCACCAGTTGTGGTTATATGGTTGAAATAGGTGTTTTACTGGCTGGCTAGCTAGTATGTGCCTCGCATGTGGGTGGTCAATGCATGAGAATGGAAGTCAATGCTGGAATACAATATATGGGCTAAAATATATAAAAAAAATTAAATTTCTATATTGCATTAGACTATATGTATACCTTCATCTCTAAGGCCTCGATGTTCACTTCACCTTTAAAAAATAATATTCATCAAAAATAATTTCAGTTCAGTAAAAATAAGTTCAATTCAGTAAAAATAATTTTAGTTCAGTAAAAATCAGGAAGTTTAAAGAATAAATATAATAGAGAATCAGTAAAAATATTTTCAGTTCAGCAAAATTAATTTCAGTTCAGTAAAATTAATTTCAGTTTAGTAAAAATAATTTAAGTTCAGCAAAAATAATTTCAGTTTAGTAAAAATAATTTCGGTTCGGCAAAAATAAGGTGAAGTGAACGGGGCCTAAATTATACCTGTTTAGAATTTTATTGAATCAAATGTAAATACAATACAATAAGCCTACGATAAATATATTTAACTTAAAAAGAATATTTTCACATAATACGAAATACTTGGTTGATTGGTCTTGATATTTATAAAGTTCCGAATTCTAAACAACAACAAGACAAATATCTTGATTCCTCATCTCGGGAAATTCCTCATCGTGTTGATTATGTATGAAAATTGATAAAATGATACCAAGTGAAAATAATTAATAATACTGCTTTATTCACCTAATTTATACTTAATGTATGATTACGACACTAAATTCAGTGTGATCTTGCAAATATATGTGCGTAGTTTCACACATAAGTATGTACCTATTGCAAAAAGGGCGTTTTTTTTTTTAAGAAAAGGTAAGAAAAAATAAACATTAGAAAGCAGATAGATAGTGAAGAAACATAAACGTCTTGCCCAAAGTGATCCTCCCGGAAGTTGAGCATGAAAATCTAAGAACCAATTTGCTCAAATTGACGACTTTGGAAGAAGAAGATAGAGAAGAAACCTCTTGAATCAACCTTGAGACTTCTTCCTGTCGTATTGGAGCGAACGACTCAACTTTCTTAGAGCTTAAGAGATGAACATATAGTATCTTCTTCATTTCTCTCAAATACTTACTATATGGACTAAGGGCTATGTCTAACCCACCATAACTTAGTCTTTTTCCTCCGGCCGATAATGGCCTATTACATAAGTTCTTATCATGTGTTTGCAAGACCTCTGTGGCCAACCTCGCCGATTGAATCACTACCATAGGTTTACTCATCAACCGGAGCGCGATAATTGGTCCATAGACCTTGCCTAACTTGGAATAGTACACGTGAGTATTTGAGGATTCAAACCGGTGAAGGTTTCCTATTAAGGGAAGCCCTTTAGGTCCGGGAGGAGGGCGAAATCGTCGTTTTTTATTATTTTTCGAAAGAATTATTGCAAGAAAGGTGGTAGAGAGAACTGCTAGAAGAAGGAAGAATATTAGCATTGCATTGTATGAGATGATAATTGTAGTAGGGTTTTTTTTTTTCTTGGCTAATTATTCGTGGTCTTATCATGCAACTACAAAAGACTAGAGCTGTGAGTTTTTGACCCGAATCGTTAAATTTGACTGTTTCGAACCAATCGAAAAGGAACTGAACTGTTAAAAACCTGTTTTTTGGAAATCGAAAACCGACCCGACCCAATTTTTTCTAACCTGAAACTAAACTGAACAGAATTTGTGCGAACCGTTACTGATCCGACCCATTATCAAGCCAAACCATTACAACCCAAAACTGAAAACAACCCGAACGGATTACGTCTGAACCCGATAGTAACCCGACCCATTTTGAAACCGAAAAAACCGTTTAAACCAAGCAAAAATCCGATAAACCTAAACTGGTCCAACCCGTAACCCGTTGTGATCAAACCGTTTCCAACCCGTAACCCGTTGAGACCGAACTGTTTACGACCCGTAACCCGTTGAGACCGAATGGTTTACGACCGGTAACCCGTTATGACTGAGTCGTTTACAATCCATAACCCAATATGTTTATGATCTGATCCGTTTCAACCCACTACTCGATAAACCGAGTTTGTTTATGACTTAACTTGATTATAACATGACTCGTTCCTACCCATTATCTGACTAACTCAACTCGATAATGATCCGACTCGATTTTAACCCAATATGATTTGGACTGAAACCCGCTTCAAATTGGGTAACCTCGTTTTCAAACCGACCAAGTTCAATCCAAACCGATTATGACCTAAACCGATAATGATTGGACCCCCGATTTCACCCGATCTATTTTGAACCAAAACCCATTTTCAAACCGACCCGGTTTAACCCAAACTGATTATGACCTGAATCGATTACAACTCGACCCGATTAGAACCCGAACTGTTTTGAACCAAAACCCACTTTAAACAGGCTAAACCCGTTTTCAAACCGATCCGGTTCAACCCAAACTGATTATGACCCGAACCAACTATAACCCGACCTGATTAGGACCCGACCCAATTAGAAACTGCAGTAAAAAAAACCAAACCGAACTGACCTGATGATTTTCAAAACCGACCCAAACCAACCTACAAACCATTTCAATCCGTTATAAACCGACCCGTTATAATCCGAAACTGATAAACCCAACCCAAACCCGAACTGTTTATCTAAATTGACACCCTTACGAAAGACTATATATAGTAAAAGGTAACATGTTTTTTTTTTCTTTTTTCTTTTTTTTTTTTTTTTTTTTTTGAGGAAAAACATGTTTTTAATATATATTGTCGATCATATATGCCATTTTCATCTATGTGGTATAGTTTGATTGGTTATATGTGATGTAATTGATTAAAAAACTATACTTCCAACTTGTAGTATAGTTACTCGATTAAATCAAACTGGGTGAATATTCATCTCCAAAAATAAAAATGTTATTGCAGTTTATCTATATACTTTGTATATGACGACATATGAAAATAATTGTAATTTTAAAAATTGTGATTTTATACTAATTTCATTTCAATCAGTATAAAATGACATATTACTAATTTAAATAATTGTATAAAATGACATCAATATATATATATATATATATATATATATATATAATTTATTATAATTATAATATTAAAACAGACACCAGGAATGACACGTATATATATATTTGTGATTATAATTTTATAAGTTATACACAAAATATTCACCTACTATAATTCACAAAATATAGTTCTGTGTTTTTTCCCTCCAAAATCCCCTTCTCTGTTTTTCCTTTTTTTTTTTTTTCTTTTTTTAGCCAATGACATTAATTACCTACTATAAGTTATACACAAAATATTCACCAAATCATATAATATATTTGTGATTATATTGATTCATATACTTTCCGTTTCTATAATTAATATTTTCCATTCTATGTAATTTTAGACTACATATCTAATATAATATTAAATAAATATAGAGTTTTCAAATTTTTACTATACAAACCTAACGTAAAATTAAATTAACTTATATCAAAAAATATACATCTAAAAGTTAAAAAATATTTTCCAACGAAAATTTATGCTATTATAATAATAATAATATAATAATAATTAAAGATTTTTGTGAATACGATAGGTAAAACATGCATGTACTTCGTATTAGATTGTAGCTACTGAAGCGAAAGGTATGACAAGAAAAT